TAGACTTTTTTTTTTGTAAATACATACATATTATACATAGAAACACCCAGACCAAAGCAAACATTAAATGTTCATGCACACAAATGTTTAACTTGAGCGGTAATTGAACCCGCGACCTTTGGAATAGCGGTCCGTTACACAAACCACTACGCCATTCGGTCGTCGTCACTACGTAATAATTACTGTAGTACAAGTAATAATCACTGACTTAATTGTAAACAACAGAGCAACTGTTGATATTCTCGTGGTCCTAGCCAAATGAATAAGAGGTTTTATAAATCAGGTGACAAAGACCGCAGTTCGATTCCGATGGGACACAATTACTTTACTATTGAACTTAAAATAAATCTTAATCTTTACAATTAATTATGCTAAGTAATTCTATTTTCCTAATTTCATGTATAATGGTTATAATAAATTCAAAACATCGAATAGCGTCTTTTAAATACGGGCATATTATTACACCTAATATAACACTACAAGTTGATATATGTAGGTATGTCATCCTTATATTCTAGACTTATATTTAAACTTTGATATGTTTTTGATATTCGTGGTCATGTCTAACATGATAGTCGACATTTGATATGTATACATTATCTTATATCTAATGTTATTTTATTTTAATAATAGTAATATTATTTAACATCGATATAATAATAATAAAAATGATCAACATTAGTAAAAAATTCATTACAAAAAATAATGAAGGTCGCGATAGATAATTTAGCATAGATCTTTTTTCTTTTCTTTTTTTTTAAAGATATCTCCCGCATTAGGAATATATCCTGTGTCGCGGGGCTTTTCAAACATACATGAAGCGGACACATGAAGCATACTCAGAACAACAATTTGTGGATCACACAAAGTGGTGTCCCGTGTGGGGATCGGACCCACAACTCTCAGCGCAGTAGTAAGCGGCGTAGCGACCGCTTAAACCACTACGCCATCCGTGCTGTCAACTATAAAAGTTATTTTTATATTATATATTATAATATATATTTAAGTAAGTTAAATGAACAAAAAACGCTACTAACTTTATTTTACAAATCTAAGTATTATGTTATCACCACAGCATTGACGTTTTAATCCCCTATCATTAACACGAAAGATTCTAACCAGTTTCATTTACTACTAAGATGTTTTCATAAAAATCATTTGCTAAAATGTTTTTTTTTAACATTTAAATGAACTATATAATATATATTGCGACTATGACTTGTGGTATAATAAAAATAAATGTTTTTTTTTTTAACAATATTCATAATTAAACGAAATAATATTATTTTGTAAATGAAACTGGGTCAGACTGATTGACATACTAAATTGATATAATATTTACTTAAATATAATATAAGAGTGTACTATTTGGACGTTGAATAAATATACCTTAAGTACTTACGATACATCTATATAGATATCATAGATAGAGGGAAAATACAATGAAATTAAGTAAATCGGTTTAAATTTGTGAACATGGGAAATTAGATTATTTTTCAAATAGTTTTCTTCTAGTATTTAGTGTTTTATTTTGAGTCACGGTTTTTTAAATTTATTATTGATATGCTCCTAATGGGAACATAAGCATTAATTTATGATAAACACTCAAGAGGGTGTTACTGAAAGGTTTACTTAAGTTTTAAGATCAAGAGAAGAAGAAGAAAAGACAAGAAAAATAATATTAAAGCTTTCAAAGATTTGTTTTTTTTTAATCTTTTGTGTATATTTTATTTTGTATGTTGTAAACATATTTGGTATAAGTACCCATGGTTTAGTCACGTCTTTATTCCGATAAAATGTAAGACCTAAATATAACTACACACCTCTTTGAGTTGGGTAATTATAATTCGAAATAAAAAACAAATCTTTAATTTATGATTTTCGTACAGAATAATAATAGGAATAGCACACGAACTGGGACAGTAAGTCCAAATTGGCAATTTGTTTATTAAAATTTGAACACACTACATTCTTGTTAAAATGATGGCTACTTCAGTTGAGTTACTCTTTTGGCTTTCATTAATAACATAGTTTATCCTTATTAATCATTACTTTCTTTACATAGTGTTGCATTTCATGCTGAAAGTGCGTTTTAAAATGTTTCCTCGTCTTAACTAGTCATGAAATTTTGCACCACATGTTGCTGAAAAAGATATAAGGTATTTTTTGTCTCGAAAATATACACCGTTTTCGAGGAATAGTGAAGACATTTATGGGGGCGAAGCCGGGTATAAAATCTAGTAAAGTTGGAATAAAAATAATATTCCGAGCTTTTTATAAACTTGTCTATGACATTACTATTGTCATAATGATTTGATTTTAGTTTTTTTAAATGTACAGTCATTTTGAACTGTTGTCGACATTTTACGTTGATATAAATTATATTAGGTTGTTATGTTGTTAGCGCAGGCCTGGGGGTTGCAGGCCTGCTATCCGTGTGGTGACGGATTAAGAATACAGAGTGTCACCACCCCTATTCATCCCGTGGGTGTCGCAAGAGCCGACTAAGGGAACAAACTACGCAGGACAACAGCACTGCAAAGAGAAGGAAAACTTGACACAAACCCTATACCAACCCGTCTGGCCAGCGTGGTATAGTAGGCCAAAACCTCCTTTCTAAGGAGAGGCCTATGTCCAGCAGTGGACTATTAAAGGCTGTTGATGTGATGATGTGGGGGTTGCAGGTCAGGTCATCTGTCACCGTAGCCGAAGCAGACCGTGGTGGTGGAGAGAAGCGCTGCGGAGCGCAAAGGGGACATGAGGGTTCCCACACAGGAGGGGATCACTACACGCCGTAGATGGCCCGAGGTACGTCGGGGTACCAGGGATTTCCTTTCTAGGGTATACCTGGTTCCCCGGCAACTGGTAACCGAGACGGTTTGCGGTTTTAGGTCGGTTCGAGTCCGACATAACCACCGGTGGGTGGTATCCGAGGGGATTTCCGCACAGATAACAAAAAAAAAGGATACTGTATTAAGAACAAAGAAAAGATACATACATATAGAATAATAGTAAAATAAAATTGCAAATTATGGTTAAATTTTGAACCACACACCGTCTCGGGTACCCGACCCGAGACAGCGTGTGGTTTTTATAATAGGTATATTTAAAATCAAAGATCCCTACAAATACCACGGCTTTTGACATCTCCCTTTGTAAGTACAGACCGTCTAAAGTTTAGCACTAATCTGTGTCAGAAAACTGCGCCTCCTTATCCAACCACCAGTAGTGTGTTCTAGTTTTAATTACATTAAAATACATTAAAATATAAACAGGATAAATAACGAATGTATAAGTATAAAATGTAAAAACTCTAAACATCGAACAAAGTACAAACATTTTAAATTCATCGTTTTGTATTTTGATATGTTTTTGAAAATACATTTTAAAGTTGAACATTTTTTGTTCATTAATAATGATATTTTTCTACATTTATGTAGAATTTATGCAATATATGTACGAGTGACTCCATGTCTTCGTACTGTTAAGTGCTACCACTATAAGTTTACCTCCCTGTATTGCAACTCAGTTAATATTGTTCGTTTCAAATTTAATCCAATATTTGGAGGAATTTCTTTTTAGAAGATACTTCGAAGAGTATTATTAGAATCAGATATAACGACATTCAATCTTAATTAAGGTTTTATTATATGGTAAACGTATGAATTATATATACATACATATATATATAAATACATATATGTATTGTTATATATTAGTATATTCAATTGACCTCGCAGATCTACACTATAAAAGCCTAATTATATATTTAATTCACACAAATATTTATCAGTTTGCTGATAAAATTAAATATTATATGATTATTAATCATTTATAACATGAATAAATGCAATTTATAATAGAGTTTTATTAATAATATTAATAATAAACTATGCAACGGCGCCTAAGCCACCTCAAAATAGCATAAGACATAGAACGGCATTTTTTCGATAAAAATATAATTGTTCTAATAAATAAATATAATTACATTTTAGGTAGTCTAAATATAATAATTGGGCTTAATATTGATAACTAAATGACTTAGTCGATTTTTAAATATATGTAGATTATTAAGATTTTAGATACAGTATTCAATATGGACAGATAATAAGATATTTATAATGATATGTATAAATATAGGAATCGATTTTACTCTAATAATAACCATTACTTTTAATTCAAGTATTTAAAAAGATTATGTTGTCAGATTCTTTATTTTTTATGTAAAATTTAGTAAATGTTATAGTATTTCGGCTAACATTGTGCATTTACGAGTTTTAGTACAATTTTATGTATGTTCCTACACCATCTTTTATTCAATCCCGTCTAATCATCTGTGTCAACAGTCAAAAATGTGTAATCTACATAATTGGCGCCCTACAATACAGAGGAAACTGATTACCCAAAGAACAATTTTTTTTTTCATTACACTTACATTTTTTTTTGTAAAATTTCATTCATTTTTTTCAAAGTAAATTCACGTCACTTACATTTTAAAGGTCTAGTCCACTCATGATATGTTTTACGTTGCCTTAACCAATGTGCGTCTATTTATAATAATATAGTTTAATAATTTATGTAACATAAAGTATACTTTCAGATATTTATAACGATTTAGTAATAAGATAACATACCATTATACATTTCGATACAATATAAATAGTTAAATTTTAGATTAAATCTTTGGCTTTAAGCAAATAAAGTACCTAGCTAGTATAAATTTTTAATTTCGCTGACTTTTAAGCGAAGCCTAGTAATTTATTCTGCTTTTTTGGCAAAATATTGAAGTAAATATTTTTTTTAAATGAAAAACATACTTTTAAATTAACAAACAAATATTCCCATGTATAACTTCCTCCTGAATTTGTTTACATTACCTCGTTACATTTCAATCAAACCCGTGTACCACTTCTAAAATTGTGACCGTACATCAAACTTATATCAGTGCAAATGGCATCTGCTTTCATTCTTCTTTCTTCTTCTTACTCCTACAGTCTACTTCAATTCCCTGCTTTTCGTGCTTGAAACATTAATTTCATAGAATCCAGGGCTTCTTCGAGCGATTGTCTGTAGGCTTCCGTGTTGGTGACAGGAGAAGATGTGAAAGAAGCAATGCAGAATATGATGGAGTCTTTCTTGGGATTGTAGCAGCAGCCGTATCCGTCGGGGCAGACCGCCCCGTAGCCCATGAAAGTGCCGTCTGTGGTGGTGGTTACCTGAGGTAAAAATAAGGATTTGGACCCATTCATGAATTTTTGCACCTTTTCCCACTTGGGCAATTTTTAACATTGCAAGGGGCTTTGATTGGTTCTGTGTTTCTAGTTGTTACTACCGGCTGCGAGCCTGACGTCAACTCTCTTTAGGAATTATTGTTTTCAGACGGGACAAAGAAAAAAGGTACTATGGTAACCCGACTGCTGATAAACATTCTTATATGTTCCTAACTACATATTTATTGTAGATAAATTATACAAAGACACAGAACAGATGATCTTGCTTATCACAGAATAATTTGTCTTGGTTGAGAAGGGAACCTACGATCTCTGGTTTAACAGTCAGGATCAGTAACTGCTAGAGTTAGAACAAGGCCCATCAATAAAGCAAACAACAGATTACTTTTTGTATCCCCGTCTCTCGACTAGAAGGAATGTAGTACTCAAATCCCCCCCATTAAATAGGGAAGGGTGGGTATTAGGCTTCGATAACCTCGGTGATATATAAAGAATTGTTTAGCACCGGTTTTTTGTGAGGCCGTGATAAATAATCACTCCGGTCAAGCATGGTTCTCTAACGATACAAAAGTACCAAACCTCATTGGTACATTCCTCGCTGGTCATTTGGTACATTGGTAGTAAAGAAAAGTCAAAGTTTTAAAAAGATACCTATCTAAATAAACCTCCTTTCTAAAGAGAGGTCTGTGTTCAGCAGTGAACCATTAGAGGCTCTTGATATTCTAATAAATGCAACGTACCTGACTGGTACTCATTTTGAACTCAAACATCTGTTTGTAAGCCGTATCACAAAACACAGGAGGTAGTTCCCCCAGGGTCTCCCGCGCCATCTCCCGCAGGCCCAGCAGGTGGTTGTCGATACCCTTGCCAAGGATGTTGGCCTCCATGATGGAGGTCTGCTTGCGAGCTGCTTCTTCGAACAGTTCTATTTTTTTCTGTTCCTGGAGAAGAACTTAATTATCAATAGATTTGTATGGTTTTCTTACTTAAACAGATGAGCTGACTTATGATGTGTTAATCGTTTATTGCAAGGAGTACGCCAAATAATAAGCAAGGGTACGCCTTACGCTCAAGCTGAAAAGTTCAGGTGTATCAACTAGTATAAATACAACTCTTTTTTTTTATAAATACAACTCCCGCATTAGGAATGTATCCTGTGTCGTGGGGGACTTTATAAACATACTCGTACATGAAACGGACACAAAGAACAACCAGACTCAGAACAACAATTTGTGGATCACACAAAGTGTCGTCCTATGTGGGGTGTGAACGCATAACACTCGGCGTAGTAGGAAGCGGCGTGGCGACCGCTTAAACCACTAGGCCATCTGTGCAGTCAAGTCAAGTATGGACATAACTAATTTGTCAAATAAATCTTCTTTCAGCCAACCGTGCAGATGCTTACTGGGAATTTATTTATTTATTCTTACGTACACAATATAAACATTTATAAAAAAAATAAATTAAGGAATAGTGGGCACGGAGGCGATATTTTTTATTTAATTTTATTACTAGTTTTTCCCTTCTTTAATACTGTTTAGCTATTGGTACTTCTTAGTTAAAATGCATATACAAGTGTCATGAAACTGTTATTAGCTTAAGAATATCAGTTACATGTTTGTTTTATTGAAGCATATTATCTCGTACTGCGATAGCTATCACAACAAGTTCTCACCCCATACAAATTGAATGAGACCTTCTTTTGGCCTTCATCAGTCCCGTCGTTGAGTGGTGAGGCATCCGCGGTGCACATAGCTGCTGCCCAGGCTAGGGCTGCCCCGTGCGCTGACCTGATGTTATCGACACGACCCTGACGGAAGCGGCGAAGGGAGGCAGACTCGTACGTTGTCACAAGGTAGCCGTACATCCTGGATACAAATTGAAAAACAGTCTTAAAAACCTTGTAAGAACCATATAGGTGTCAAATAAGTTACTTTGAAACGTAATAGAGAATTAATTATATTTGAACTTTAAGATACTGTTGTTTGAACTGTTCATAGAATTTATTCATGGTCTCCTATCTAACTATATAATATTATTAATAGCAAAGTGATTTTTTTGACTTTTTGTGTTTTAACATTTTCCACAAACCCACTTCACAGATCCCAATGAAACTTTGCATACACGTTGTCGAGGGTAGAGGAAAAGAAGATAGAGTACCACTACTTATGAAGAAATGATTTCCGAGGGACCATCACTTACTTGTAGTAAGCATACTGGATCGCCAGCTGGATGTAGACATCTGGACTGGTGCGACATGACTTCATGAATTCCCGCCCGTAACCGCGGTATGTGTACACTTTGAAGTCCAGGTCTGATATAGCCCTGCAAAACAGTTATTAGTCCAGACATCGATTCTATGAAAAATAACAATGAAGACAAAGTCAAGTTTTCTCTTACGTAGACCCTAAAGTCATAGATCAACGAACATGTTAGCAACACTTTGTTTTGTCTAATATTTATCAAAATAAATGTATACCTATAGGATCTATTACATGCCTGTGCCGATCTACAATCGCTCGTTTCCAAGGGGTTAAGTCTTATGAGAAGAATAAAGAATAAAAAAAGATGAACTACAAAAATTGATCTACCTCAGAGTGTAAAATCTCCCACTCCCACTTGACCGATGTTAATGTTTTTTTTTGTATATTTGGTAGGTATAAGAAAACGTCGTAAAGTATTTTAACCCTTTTAACCCACGATTGAATTTATTTAACAATTTATATGGCAGAACAACGATTGCCGGGTCAGCTAGTTATGTATAGATCTATATATTATCTTAGACTTCGTTCATTCATCCATTTTACTTTAACAGAGCCAACGTTGTTCAACGTTTAAAAGATAATTGAAAAGAGTCTCACCTATCAAGTTCTCGTGCAGCATGCTCAATAGTCCTCTGAACTTCTGGTACGATGTTCCACTTCATAGCTTGCGGGGCAGGCAGTAGAGCCGGTGGGGGAGCCGGCCGATCTGCCACCTCCGCCCTGGCGAGAGCTCGCTCAGCCAGACGTACCACTGCTACACCTTCGGCAGAGCTGTGCTCGTAACACATGCCCACTGTACCGTCTGATGATATTATCAGCTGGAGACAAGTTAAGTTAGAAATCTTAAATAGGCATTCACATCACACATCACATCATCACATTAACAGCCTATACTTGTCCACTGCTGGACATAGGCCTCTCCTTAGAAAAGAGGTTTTGGCCTACTATACCACACTGGCCAGACGGGTTGGTATAGGGTTTGTTTCAAGTTTTCCTTCTCTTTGCAGTGTAGTTGTCCTGCTTAGTTTGCTCCCTTAGTCGGCTCTTACGACACCCACGGGATGAATTGGGGTGGTGACAATTTGTATTCTTAATCCGTCACTCACATAGGCATTCACTCTCTTTTAATCCTAATTACAAAAATCGAGAGATAAAGTATGAATAAAAACTATACCTCTAATATACAGCTATTTCGCACTACACCAGTCATACTGAAATAATCATCTCCCACCACCCGCAAACAACCGATCTGGTTTGATTCCAAGAGAAAGTTGAGTGCAGAAAGGTCAGTGGATAAATGAATTATAATGTTCTATACTGCATATAGATGGCGGAAATAGTTTGTTACCACACCAGTAGTTCATCCTCCCAACCTTTTGCCCAAACTGAGTTGGGGTCGGCTATCAGTCGACTACGACACGGCTGGATTCCGATTTTTTACGAACGCCATCATGCCTCCACAACCCAAGTACTATTGAAGTTCTGTACATAAAAAATCTTGACTGCACGGATGGCGTAGTGGTTTAAGCGGTCGCCATGTCGCTTCCTACTACGTTGTAGTGTTGTGGGTTCAAACCCCACATGGGACGACACTTTGTGTGATCCACAAATTGTTGTTCTGAGTCTGGGTGTTCTTTGTGTACGTTTCATGTATGTTTGTAAAGTCCCCCGCGACACAGGATATATTTCTAATGCGGGAGTTATCTTTTTTTAAAAGAAAAAAGAAATTGTCGGACTTTAGGGCTCTACCTACCCGTAACCATTACTACAGATATTTTTATGGCAACCGGGAACGACGGCTCAACAACCACAACAGTAGTTATTGGGTACAAATATTGGACATCCTTCAAAGCTTCAGTTTAACCTTAAACACTAAAGACTTTACAGTTCTCAACGTGCTACCCATGTGAGTATTAGAAAATTGGAATTGGCTACAATTCAGTGACTTTAACTGCATTATTTAAAAAAAAAACAAACCTGAACAGTTTTATCAAACCACCGGTTGGCGGAGTGATGACGAGTGCCAGCTCCGTGCATGGCCCGCAACATGGCGTTCGTCTCAGGGTCTGTGTCTGCTCTATCGCCTCCAGCTTCGTCCAGGCACAGGATGCAAAGTGCGCGGGATATGAGCTCCAAATTCATACGATTCATTTCATCTAAAATAAAAAAAATATGTAAAACTGATAACATTATACAGATATGAAAAAGACCCAGAAGAGACTGTTTTATATTTTTTCAACAGAAGGAAATTAAAAAATTTCTTCATAAGTGTAAGTGCAGGGAAAAAATCTGTGTCATCTGAAAATTATTTAATTTATATATACAGATTCGCTTTCTCCCTTTGTCTGTCTCTAAAAACTTTTATTTCCATATTCAATTTTTCTCTTGTCGTAATCCAATAAGGTAATATTTAATACCCACCTTTAATTAGGTGTTCCCTGGCCCTAGCCCACTGGTCTCTGTTCATGGACGTTAGCAGACCAATCCTGGGCGCTGGTGGAGCTCCAGCAGCGTCGACCATAGCGTGAAGTAGCTGTGCTTGGATTTCTCCTGGCGTGATTCTGCCGCGGTCTACTGCTTTTACCGGGATCGGGTAGAACTGTGGAAGAAGAATGTAAACGTCATTCTTTAATATAAAAAAAGGGAGCGATGTTAAAAAGGACCTAAACTTATGGTTTGTGTAACGGACTGCTATTCCAAAGGTCGCGGGTTCGATTCCCGCTCAAGTCAAACATTTGTGTGCATGAACATTTAATGTTTGATTTGGTCTGGGTGTTTCTATGTATAATATGTATGTATTTACAAAAAAAAAGTATATATGTATTTATATCAGTTGTCTAGTAGCCATAGTACAAGCTCTGCTTAGTTTGGGACTAGATGGCGTTGTGTGAATGCAGTAAAAAATATCTATACAAAAAAAACAAAATATATTGTATATTGCAAAGAGATTTGATGAACGTTACATCTGTCGCTATAAGCCTGAATTGTATGTTTTTATTGATTAAAACAAAAAGGATTACGGACAGGATTTCACGAGAGGAGGCCGTTTAGGCAACCACTTTTAACTAAATTATTAATAAATCTTTAACTGACTTTTAAAGGCTGCTCCCTCAAGGGATGACCGTCATTTGTTGAGGCTTTTACTGAAAATGCCTGAACATATTTAGTGCCGAATTCTGTTCAGACAAGTTTTAAATACACGATTATTTCATTATTATAATTGTTTAATGATTAGTTCTTTTTGTAAACCCATCCTGCTTATATTATTGTTTTTTCTTAAAAGTTGATCATGTACTATGGAATCCAAGTCCACTATCACTTCGTTCTCTACTCTATTGCCATGTACATTTACACCTATACCCCTACAACTGTCTCCAAAAGCACTCACATAATTCCTGCAAGCAACCACAACCAGCTCCTCCTGTTCCTCTTTTCCAGATTTGACAGCCGGCAGCTCCAATCTATCTTTGCCAACTTCTGGTATGCGGCAGACGCCCAGTAAACGATAAAATTGCTCCATGCAAAGGGGCTGACCCTTTTCGCGACTGGTAGCTCGTTCAAGGGGAAGTTCTCCTCTGAAATAATACGAGAGATGAGTGACTCATTTCATTCCACATTTGCAGCTGATCATGAGCTGCAGAAATGTTGACTGCATTGGGTACACTTACCTATCCAACATTTCCTTGTAATCCAGTATATCATCGATGAACAAAGCTCCAAGGTCAGCTACCTCTTCCATCTTTGCAAAGTGTCGACGAGGAAACACCATGCCTGGATTGGAGTTGATGGGCAGTGGTAGCCGTACCTTCAGGTACATGTCGTTCAACCACCAATCTGTCACCTACGATAAAAAGTCATTTATAGAAACGGTGGCGGTTTTTAAAATCAAAATATAAATGTAGAAAGATGAACACTTACGAATTAATTTGCAGATATAAACCCTAATGATTTGGAAGTAAATAAGAAATAAAACTAATAATACATATACAAATCTACTTTATTTTTATTCTAAAAATCATCATAATGCTCAAAACTGTAAGAAACGGTAGGGCTTAGAAAAAATATAGTTCTTCTTCGGCGGCGTGATGTTCGTAAAGGTTTTTTAACTTCACCCTTAGGTGTAGGGGTTACGACCTGGAAGTTTCTTCTGTACTGTAACTGCCGGAGGTTGTATTCATCTCCAGTCGGAGTCAAAGGCTTTGGAAGGCTGAGGTCATAAGTTGGCGGCCATGTGAGCGGTACGAAATCAGGTGGACCCCATAATTTCTTTTTTGATAAGTCAGTTTTATCTCTAAAAAGGTCCCAGTCTGTTTTAGGATGTGTATGTGGTTTATCTAACACATTGCTAACAGACGCCTTAATTTGCGTCGGGAACAAGGCACTAGGATTATTTTGCAGCGCTGCCCGAACTGACCCAATTTGCTGTTTCCAATTTAATTTCTTATGATGAAGCGGGGTTTCGAATATTTCAGCAAATGTTTCCTCTTCATTTCTAGGAGGCATGAAGAAAGTTTTAGGTCTATCTATTTTGTGCCGTGGGACTTCCAGAGGATGAAACTTGGGTCTTAGAATAGAGTATCTGGTATTTACGAATAATGGATTATTTTGGCGCACTTTTTGGTTTTTTAAGTGGCTCGGAGTCGCTAAGCGGTGTTGACTGAAAAAGTCACGTGTATTCATGGACATTATTTCTTTTTTCTTAACTCCACCGATATTTATTCGTTTTACGATATTTGGTGGCAATTTTGGTAGTACCGCCTTCGCTGGCTTAACCGGATATAACTTGGTTTTTTCAAATGAATTTAATAGTGATTCTTTTGATCCCAATTTAGTAAAAACCTTTTTGGTTAGTTTTATAGCTGGATGTTTAATGTTACTCGTTTTTCTATTAGGGTTTTGCTTCGATGGTGGCCTCGAAAATCTATTATTTTTAATATTGAAATGTATAGTTAGATTGTCAGCAGAACAATTTGATGCTTTCAGAAATTCTATAAATTCATAAGTAGAATGGAATTTATGTCTCATGGTTTTTAGTATAGCACAAGATATATTTGGACGTGCGCTTATTTTTGGTTTTAATGTTGGGCCTTCGTTATCTTCTTCGGTCGGGGGCTGGTATGTATTATACTTAATATGATTTGTTACTGTAAGAGGAGGTCGTAAGAAATGATACCTATTTAGTCGTGAGCTATAAATTTTTACATTTTTCCCCTCTATTGATGCAGATTCGGCAAAAATTGTCGATAAAGGATTGTACTTTATTTTTCGGTTACTGATAGGAATAGATTCGTTATTACTTTTGTATGATGAAGGTAAAAATCGATCTTTTGATGTGTATTTTGTATTTTTATCTTTATACTTAACTGTAACGAAGTTAGGAAGTCCCGACATTTTAGATTTAGAAGAATTTCTTGTGGTATCTAAGGATATATTTGTAACTTTATGACTTATTTTGTTTTGTAAATTACGCATTTTCAATTGATTTGAAGCTTGCTTTTGATGTATACTATTATTCAAAAGAAAAGGAACAGTCATATCAGTTAATAATTGTGTTTCATTCTTTTGAATTTCTTTAATATAGCTTATATTCATTTCTGATTTGTGACTGGCCACAGTTATAGTCATGTCTGCAAAATTTTTTGACTGTTTGTCGATACTGTAAGACTTACTTAAAGGATTTATATTTGTAAAACTTTTACTTATTTTATTAGAGTTTTGGTAAATTTTAGTTGTTGTTTTCGTGTTTTGCTTTTTATTGCCTCTAGTATATCGACTCCAAATACTTTTGCTGCTTTTAGGGTCTAAAATGTAAATTTTTGAAACAGTGTTAAATGGCATTGCGATTAAATGTGAAGTGTGATTGCTTTCTTCTTTTGCATTTGTAGATATAATCTGAGTTGTATTTTGAGGATTGCCAAAATTAGATTTTTCTCTGTTTGGAGTTTTATGTTCTATTAACAAATTAACTGACGATTTTAGAAAATTTGTTATAACTTTTGTTTCTCTTTCAGAAATTGTAGTATTTTTTATTTTCAATAACGAAGGCATAATTTCAGTCTGTATATACTCTGTAGTATCTACTTGAGTTTCATTTGGATTTTGAGTGACTTCGTTGTAAATGTTTTTAAAATCAGCTTGGTTTGTTATACTCGTAGTGTTTGCACTTAACGAACTCATAGTCACTATATTTTCTTTTAAATCTTGAGGTAAATTTGATCCGTCTCTATACTTGGTTTCAAAAGTGTTAAGTTTTACATGTCGCGTTGTATGTAGATTTTTAACAAGTGAAGTAGTTTGATTTAAATTTATTCCAATGGTACTTAGGACGTAAGGTGTAGTGTTTAATGATGATTTCGGAGTAGGGTCATTTTTTTTACTCTTATTAGAAGTTCTTTTGGTCGTGTACATAGATGAACTTTGGTGGTTTGAAAGTAAAGCAATGATTGACTGCGAATTATTGTTGGTTGTCCTAAACCTTACAGTTGTGGTTATAGGATCGGCGTAAATATTAATTTTTTTGTTAAATATTGTAGGATTATAAGTAGCTACAGTTGGTTTTAAATAGTTTTCGCTTACAGTACTGGAAGTAAAATGAAATTTCTTATTATGTTGTTGATCTTTTTCAAATTCTTTTAAAGCATTAGTATGAATAGGTGACGTTGTATAATTTAAGCCATATGTCGACTTAAAATCTAATGTATTACTCGAAGTTTTATTATACAGATGAGCTATTGTTCGTATTTCTAGTATTGAGTTATTGGCCAGTTTTAGGTCATTCTGTTTCAAGTTAAGTACTTTCGTAACAATTGTTGGGGTAATGGACGCATCAGGATTATCATTATAATTCTCAATCATTTTTAGGAACAAATTTGACTTTTTTTGTATTTCTCCTGGCATTATTTCGTCGTTTGTCGTATACATTATTTTTTTAGTTCGTGATAAATCTGAGTTATTCCCGGGTGGAATTTCATTTGAAACTGCATTAAAGAAATGCTTTTGAGGTTGTTTTGTAATGTTCAAATTAGTGCCATACTTCGAAATATGTTCTGTATTTGATGCCAATTCCTTGTTATCGCTCAAATTAAGAAGTATTAGTGGTTTTGATGTTTTTGAGTAATTGTTTGCATTTGAAATGGCTGAGTAAACTTCAGTAAATTTATTATATATGTTGTATTTGCTAATAGATTTGTTGGCTATATTTAAATTTATATCATTTAAAACTTGTTTAGAGCTTTCAGTCACTGATTTATTTTGTTCATTAACGTGTCTTCTTACAAGGAAATCATTTAATGTTGATTTTGAAATTTGAGTGGTTATAGCTTTATTCGGTGCAGAACCCATCTTATGTACATAATCTATATCTGTTTTTCTATCGTTAGAAGTAAAGCCAGATAATATTTCTAAACTGTGAGAAATACCGGATATATCTCTGAATGTTTTTGGCTGAACTTTCGAGTTTATACTTGTCTGCGTAGCGTTAGTTATGAATGCTGCTGGTGTCAAGGGATCAATACTATCTTTTGATTGATAATTGAACATTGCTGTTATAATTTTAGGCTTAGGAGTGAATTTATTAGCATTAACATTTGTTGGTGATTTTTCTAACTCATCATTGGTCATTTTAGTAGTCGCATGAACAGTTAAATATGGAATACTAATTTTGATGGTTATGAAATGTGTTTTGTTGGGGGCTTTTATGTTAGTTGTAGTTAATGTCGTCCATTTTAAATTTGATTTATTATCGTCATCTAAAATTGAATTACTTTTAGTAAAATCCGTTTGGTCTTTAATCTCATTATTTATTAATGACAATACATCAGTAGTATTTGAAGGTATTATTTTTAAAGTAATTGGTTTAGATGTAACTAGTTTCGTAATTTTGTCTTTTATTTTAATTTCGTTAAACGTAGCAGCAGGATTTTTTTGCAGATTATTGTTTAAAGATAAGTTAAAAAATTTATAACTTTTTGTAGAATTTAGAACCCCACCATTTTCATCCAATTTCATACCCGAAAATAATTGTGGATTAGATTTCTTTGACTCTGGTTTTTTAGTCACCTCTGTTAAATAAATTGTCGATATCATTGCGAATGATCTGTTTAAACTCATTTTTTTGCCGTTTTCTTTTTTTGTTATTTTATCTGTAGGTTTATTTATCTGATAATTATGTATTGTCTGAGTATCGTTTGCATGACTGAAATAAGATTTTCTTGTGGGCTTATCTATCTGTGTTTTATACTCTTCATGCAATTTTTCATCGGATATTTTTTTGTAATTAGTTTTGATTGGTATGTTTGTACTTTTGTTTTGTATGTAAGATTTATTAATATGTATAGTTGGTTTACGTATTTTAGAAAGTAATCTATGTATTATATCATTTTTGTTGGTTGTATTTAACTTTTTTATATCGATTTCTTTAGTTTTCACTAATTTTTTGAGTAAATCAGCTATGTCAGTTTTGTACTTCAAAGCATTAATAAGCTTTTTACGCTTTCTGGTAAGTGTTTTTTTTCTCTGTTTTGTTTCAATAGCTGAAGGTTCACCGACAGAAATGTTTGATATTTCTGTTATGCTCATGTTCGTTTTACTAATTATTTTATTTTGATTAGGCGTAATATAAACTGTTCCATTATGTAGTTTCCCTTTGATATCTGTACTATAAGTAGTAGTATCATTAATAAATTTTGTTTTACCATAATCTTTTATATTAAATTTTGAGTTGTTTTGCAGCTTTACGTCTTTAATTTCGAATGTAATAGGTATTTTATTCTGTTTATCTTGAAAATATGTTGGTTTGTTTGTTTCAGTTAAATATTGATAACTATTCGTGACGTTATCATGACTAAGTAGTATATGAGTAGTGGAATAGGTTGCGTTATGTTCTTTGGCAACATTATTGAAATTTTTCATTTTAGTCTTTCTAACATGATTTGGGACGAACATTGAGTTATCATCTTCTGAATTGTCGTTTTCTCTAAATAGTGAGTCACTATCTTCTTCTTCGTTTTTGATCATTGTTGACTCTTTTTTTGTTGCTGTAAATGTACTATTGGCTATATTTTCGTTGGTTACATACATTTGTGTTTTTATTTTTATTTTATCTGTAATGTTATTGTTCTTTTTTAATTTCTGTAAATGTTCTTGGTACATATGTTTTAAGTTTTCCATTGTAAACTGATCTGTAAGACTCGCAGGCTTAATAACAATTTTTTTATGTTGTTTCCATGTAGGCTGTACTGTACTGCTGACGTTCACTAATTCAATTATTTGTTTGGAATATAAGCTTGTTTTGTTACCACCATCTATAGTAGATATATTACCAACTGTAATATTAGAAATCCATCTATTTTGCGAATTTGTTATTACAGTTACTGGCTTTTTTTCTATACTTATTGTTGTTTCTGGAGGATTAATTTGTTTTATATTATTGGATAGAGTAATCGCTTTTTCAACTTCTTTTCTGTCATTAGCTCTTCTTGTTAAGTTCATAAGCGTTAACCCTTTACTGTTCAGATTACCGTTGTTGAGGTCAACATTTAACGGTAAAACAAACGCTTTAGTGGAACTCTTTTTTGCAGATTTCGGCTCTACTCGGTGACTCACCGTTTTTGGTTTTTCATCAATACTAACTAATGTAAATTGGATTCGATCTTTAGTGGTTTCTATGCCTACACGAATACTTAGTTCGATTTCATCAGGTTTAATTGTTTTCAAGTTGCTTGATTTAGAATGTCTTGTACCATTTATAATTGGAAATATCATAGGGTTGAGACTATTATATTTATATATTGGTATTTTAGTAGGTTCTGTAAACGTTTTACTTATCTCCAATTTCGTACTTTCAGAAATTACAGACGATGTTTTATTAATTGTGGCAAGTGTACCATTTGCTTTGTGCGATTTAGATTGAGTCACATTAGAAACAAACTTATTGGGAACATCATGTTTTTGAATAGGTTTTGTATACAGAAAATTATTAAAAACGAACGATTTATCTGTTTGGTGATGAGTTCTATTATTCGTTGCTTTCTGACTAAGTGTTGGTCTAAGGATTTCTTGATATGATTGTGCTGTGACACTTACAGTATAAGGTGTAGCTGTATTCACTAATTTCTTGGTGTTCATCATCTGAATTTTACCAACTGTCGGAGTTGTTTTATGTTTGAGAACATGACTAGTAGAACTTGGTGAGGATGGATGTAAGTCTAGCTTTAAAGTTGCATCCGTATTGAAATCGAATGGTTTGCTTAAGACTTGTAAATGTAATTCTTGATTTTTAGGCGTCTGCTTAGATAGCATTAGTTCCTTTGTATTTTCTCTTGAGAACTGAAGTTCTTTTAAGTTCATCTTACTGTTCTCTACAGTTTTGTGGTTAATTTGAGTAACAAGCGTATTCATTTTTTTTGGTTGCTTGTGTTGTTCCTGTAGTCCTGTAGTGTTAATTTTTAACAGGTCAGTAGCGAGATTTGTTGGCAGTACAGGTAAAATAGGTTTTGTTGCATCCAATGGCCAAAAAGTTTTTAAGTAGGAACTATCATTTTTCTTTATCGTTATTCCTTTGTTTGATTTATTTTTTATTTTTAAAGCTGTGTGTACGAAGGTATGTGGTTTGCTTGTAAAATATTTCACAGACATAGCTTTAGTTAAAGCCTTTAAGTTATGGAAAATGGATTGTGTCCTTTTTGATGTTACATTTTTCCAGCTTTTATGTGACTCCGACGCAATATTATTCAAAATAGGTTTGTGTCCTATTGTTGTCAAATTATTGTTAAAAGTTTTGATTTTACTTGTTACATTATTTTTTAACTCTGGTTCAGTCATAAATATAGTGCTTTCTGTAACTGTAAGCAATTTCTCGTTCAAAATTGTTTGAGTATATTTTGTAGTACTTGCAGCCGTCGTTATAATATTTTGAAGAAAAATAGAATTTAAAACATTTGTTGGTTCATGTGTTCTTTTAAGTTGTATAATTTTGGTGGCTAGAAACTTGTGAAGTGTTTCAAAAGGTCTACTTGTGACAGTCTCTAATTTTTGTTTACTATAATTTCGGGTTCTAGTTGCATTTGTTGAAATATCCGTTACTTTTGTTACATGATCTATATTACTTACATTAATGACGTCATTTTCATAACTTTTTGGAGTATGCCATATTGTACTAGGTATTTTTACATTCATTGGTTTTGAAATGGCATTGTACGACTCCGTGAATATTATACCTTTCTTGTGCTTAAGACTATATTTAACGGGACTATTTAAGGTTGCTTCAATGTTTCTTTGAAGAAATATTGGGTTCATCGTTAAATTTGTTGCTTTATTTGTACTCACAATGTTTTCAGTGACATTTGTAAGCACTTTGGTGTTCTTCGAGTTTGTGGAAAACCATTTATTGTTCATTGGTTCAGTCGTGTTGTAAAGTTTTGTGTTTTGAGTGGCTAACAAGTTGTCAAGTTCCTTAAAATTTGTAGTATTTACGGTTGCTAATTTATATTTTATAATATTTTCACGTGGTTTAATAGTATTAGTTTTTGGTAAAGCTGTATTGCTTAATGCGACCGTTATATTATATAATTTGTCTATAGCTTCGATATTGTTATCGTCATATTCAAATTTTTTTGATGTTTTCTCAATTGTACTAGATTCTTCAACATTTGTGTGAATTGTAACATACTTGTACAGGTCTGAAATCAATGTTTCTTTCCCAAAGCCTTTCGTGTTATTTGGCCTATATTTTAAGGTATTATATGATGTCGCTTTTACATTTATTTTTGGAAATATTGGATTTGTAGTGAAGTCTCTTATTTTTCTTTTTTTAATAGTTTTTATGAAATCTTTTGTATTCGTTGTATTTGTTTTAAAAACTTTGTAATGAATTGGATCGGGTATGTTATGCAATATATATTTATAATTAGTATTTCTTACCTCTTCTTCTAAAGTATATTTTAAATCACTTTTAAATTTTTGTGTTGCATTATCTTGTGTTTCAGTGGTTTTCATTGACATTTCGTTCATTTTGGCTTTATCATGTATGTTTTCAGTACTAATTGCACTATTTTCATAATTTTTTGTAGTATGCCAAATTTTACTAGATTTATTAACATTTCTTGGCTCTGATATAGCATTATACGATTTTGTAAACATTTCGTCTTTTATATTTGTCGAATTATATTTCAAGATACTATGTGATGCTGCTTTTGTGTTTCGTGCTGTAAATAAACCCTTGATTTTGTTACTGCTTTTATTCATTTCGTTATCCTTTATAATATCTTCTGTATTATTTAAATTTGTTTCTAAAACTTTGTTATGTCTTGAATCGGGTGATGTATGAAATAATATAGATTTATAAGTGGTACTTCTTGTTATTGGTGATGTATATTTCAAAACACGTTCAAATTTTTGGGCTTTAGTCATTTTGATTAACGTGTCTTTAATTTTGGTTTGAATGTTTATGTTGCCGATGTTAATTGTATTATTTTCATATATCTTCGTAGTCTTCTGAGTTGTACCAGAGTTGTTGTCATTGTTTAGTTTCGATATAGCATACGATTCCGTAAACATTTTGTCTTTAATGTTTTTTAAATTATATTTGAAGCTACTATATGATGTCACTTTTATTTTACTTTGTGGGAATATCAGATTTGTAGTTGATTCTTTTTTATTATTATTACTTTTATTAACAATATCTTTGTTAGTAAGGTAATTTGTTCCAAACATTTCATTATGTACCGGATCAGGTGTGCCATGCAATGTATATTCATCAGTTGTACTTGTAGTCAGTGGTGATGTATATTTATTAGTACTTGCAAATTTTTGTGTAGCATTGTTTTGTGTATTGATTATTTTTACTGATTTGTCCTTTATTTTGGTTTCATCACCTATATTGCTGATATTAATTACGTCATTTCCATATTTTTTCGTAGCATATATGTGGTCAGTTTTTGAATCCAAAATAGCATTGTAAGATTCTGTAAACATTTTGTTGTTTTCGTTCATTGAATTATATTTAAAGGTACTTTTCATGTTACTTTGTGGTAATACATGATTTGTAGTTAAAGCTTTTATTTCATTTCTACTCTCATTTATTTTTACAGCATTTATAATATATTCTTTATTATCTGAATTTGTTCTAAACATTTCATTATGTACCGGATCAGGTGTGTTATGCAATGTATATTCATCAGTTGTACTTCTAGTCATTGGTGATGTATATTTTATAGTACTTGCAAATTTTTGTGTTTTAGTTGTGTTAATTGATTTGTCCTTTATTTTGGTTTTATCACCTATATTTCCGAAGTTAATTACATCATTCCCATATTTTTCCGTAGTAGATATGTGGTCAGTTTTTGATTCTAAAATAGCATTGTAAGATTCTGTAACCATTTTATTGTTTTCGTTCATTGAATCATATTTAAAGATACGTTTTATGTTACTTTGTGGAAATACATGATTTGTAGTTAAATCTTTTATTTCATTTCTACTTTTAATTATTTTTACAGCATTTATAATATATTCTTTATTATTTGTATTTGTTCCAAAATTTTCACTATGTATTGAATCGGGTGTGTCATAAAATATGTATTCATCAGTTGTACTTCTTGTCATTGGTGATGTATATTTTATAGTACTTTGAAAGTTTTGTGTTTTAGTTGTGTTGATTGATTTGTCCTTTATTTTGGTTTTATCACCTATATTGCTGATATTAATTACGTCATTTCCATATTTCTTCGTAGCAAATATGTGGTCAGTTTTTGATTCTAAAATAACATTGTAAGATTCTGTGAACATTTTGTTGTTTTCGTTCATTGAATCATATTTAAAGGTACTTTTCATGTTACTTTGTGGTAATACATGATTTGTAGTTAAATCTTTTATTTCATTTCTACTCTCATTTATTTTTACAGCATTTATAATATATTCTTTATTATTTGTATTTGTTCCAAAACTTTCACTATGTATTGAATCGGGTGTGTCATAAAATATGTATTCATCAGTTGTACTTCTTGTCATAGGTGATGTATATTTTATAGTACTTTGAAAGTTTTGTGTTTTAGTTGTGTTGATTGATTTGTCCTTAATTTTGGTTTTATCACCTATATTTCCGAAGTTAATTACATCATTCCCATATTTTTTCGTAGTAGATATGTGGTCAGTTTTTGATTCTAAAATAGCATTGTAAGATTCTGTGACCATTTTGTTGTTTTCGATTATTGCATCATATTTAAAGGAACTATTTATGTTACTTTGTGAAAATACATGATGGCTAGTTAAATATTTTATTTCATTTATACTCTTATTTATTTTTACAGCATTTATAATATCTTCTTTATTATTTGAATTTGTTCTAAACATTTCATTATATACCGGATCAGGTGTGTTATGCAATGTATATTCATCAGTTGTACTTCTAGTCATTGGTGATGTATATTTTATGGTACTTGCAAATTTTTGTGTTTTAGTTGTGTTAATTGATTTGTCCTTTATTTTGGTTTTATCACCTATATTTCCGACGTTAATTACATCATTCCCATATTTTTTCGTAGCAAATATGTGGTCAGTTTTTGATTCTAAAATAACATTGTAAGATTCTGTGAACATTTTGTTGTTTTCGTTCATTGAATCATATTTAAAGGTATTTTTCATATTACTTTGTGGCAATACATGATTTGTAGTTAAAACTTTTATATCATTTATACTCTTATTTATTTTTACAGCATTTAAAATATCTTCTTTGTTATTTGATTTTGTTCCAAACATTTCATTACGTATTGGATCGGGTGTGTCATGAAATATATATACATCAGTTGTACTTCCTGTTATTGGTGATGTATATTTTACAACACTTTCAAGTTTGCGTGTAGCATTGTTTTGTGTTTTAGTTGTTTTCATTGATTTCATTATGGTCTCATCATCTATGTGGCCGGCATTTATTTCGCCATTTTCATATTTTTTCGTTGTAGATGTATTGACATCTTCTGGTTCTAAAAGAGCATTGTATGATTCTGTGAACATTTTGCCTTCTATGTCGTTTGAATTATCTTTTAAAGTAGTATATGTCTCTTTTACGTTCCTTTGTAAAAATCCTGAATGAGTAGTTATTTTACCTTTGTTCACAATGCTTCCAATAGCTATGGTAGTGCCTTCTATATTATTTGAATTTAATTCGTCGGTTGTGTTAGAAAATATTGTATTTACGGTGCCCGAAAAGTTGCAGAGTTGTGTATGAGTTAAATTTTTTGTGGTTGGTGACGTATATTTTATGAAAGCTTTAATTTTTTGTATACCTTTATTTGGTATTCTAGTTATTTGAGTTGACGTATCCTTCATCTGGGTTTCAACATTTATGCCTGCGATACTATTAATGTTACTTTCATATTTTTTCGTAGTATTCCATACTGTACTAGATTTTTTGATGTTTGGATCTGGATCTAAAATACCCTTGTACGACTCTGTGAACATTGTGTTTCTAATGTTCTTTGGAGTATATTTTAATGTTTTATTATATGATGTTATTTTAATGTTTATTTGTGGAATTATTACATTTGTATTAATTTTGCTTCTATTCTCAATGCTTTCAATAGCTTTCATAATATCTTTTCTTTGATTTTGTTTATTCATTGTCAGGTCAGATGTATTATCTAGAATTATATTTCTGGTGCCTAAAAGGTCGTCAGGTTTCGTGAATGGTGTATTCTTAGTAATGCTTTCTAATGTTCGTATAGTATTATGATGGATTTCAGTTGAATTTATTGGTTTTTCCGTCACAAGAACTATGTTGGTGATGTTATTTATCTCATATTTAAAATTGTTTGTGGTATTCCACGTTGTACTTGTGGAATCTTTTTTGTTCTTCATACTGGTATCAAACATTTCACCATATATTGTCTCAGATGTTTTATCAAATTCCGTATGTTCGGTTCCCAAAAGCTTGTAAGGCTCTATATTACTTCTAGTTTTGGTAATAACTTCAAATGATTGTGTGGTTTTATTTCGGCTACTAGTTATTTTAGTAACGTGATCTATGTATCTCGTGGTAGAAACGTAATTTTCATAATTTTTCGTAGTGTTTCGCGTTGCATTAGTTATGTTGACATTTCTTGGTTCTAAAGTAGCTTTGTACGACTCCGTGAATATTGTATCCTTTATTTTCTTCGAGTTATATTTTAAGGTATTATTTGAAGTTTTCTTAATGTTCTGTTGTGAAATTGTTGGAGTTGTAGTTAAATCTGCTATTTTAGTTTTACTTACAATGTTGTTACTAGCATTTATAATTTCAACTGTATTACTTGTCTTTGTGGCAAACAATTCGTCATATAATGAATCAGGTATGTTATTAAATTTAGTATTTTCAGTATCTAAAAAGTTGTAAGGTTTTTTAAAAGGCGTATTCTGTGTGATAGTTTCCAATGTTTGTTTAGTTAGTTCGTTCGTTCCTTTGATTACATTATCAATGTTGATTGCGGAACTTTCATAATTCTTATTAGTACTACACATTGTACTAGATAGTAAGACATTTATTGGTTCTGAAATAGCATTGTACGACTTTGAGAACATTATGTCATTTATATTTTTTTGACTATGTGTTAAAGTACCCTTTGAAATGGGTGGTATGTTTTGTTGTGGAAATGTTGGGTTTGTAGGTAAAACTATTAGTTTACTTCTGTTGATGATATTTTCAATGGTATTAGTCTTAGTTATTGTTTCAGTGTTTGTCTGTGACACTACATTTTCAGTTAATTTAAAATCACAAGGTTCTTTTTGCATTGTTTCTTTTATTTCTGGTACTGTATTTTTTTCTACTGTTTCAAACGTCTTTATGAAATTATTTTGTTGTGTTTGTGGTTCTATTGTTGTATATACACTGTTACTTTCATCGTTTTCAGCAAAAAGTGACTTTGTTAAAAACTCTTCCTCATCGTTTTGGTCTGAGATAGGATTAGGATTAATTTCTATATTCCTAGTTTTTTCTAAATTGGATAATTTTTTAGCCGTTGTATCAAATATAGAATTTTCCATCTCATCATAAATTTCTTCAGATATTGCAGCTTTTGTTTTTAATAAACTATATTTCTCAGTACTACCCGATGTCTCTGTGATGTGTTTCTGTATAACGTTAATGTTTTTTACTATGTCTTGCACACTATTTTTTAGGTCACTTATGTTGTTTTCTGTTTTCTTAAATGTAGATGTGGACGATTGTTTAAATTTGTATGACATTGGACTAGTACTGAATAAAGTAGATTCAGTAAACATTAAAGGTTCTTGGTAAATCACGTTTTTTGTGTTTGGTAGTGTATATTTAATTGGTTTTGTGGACATTTTTATACTATTTATTGATAGAACACTTGAGTTTCTAACGGCCTGTTCATCAGTTCTATTTTCTGTATTATCAATACTATTTTTATCTCTTTCTGTTTCATTACTTAATTTTGTAGAATAGTTGTAGTTATTTGTTGTTCTAGTTAGTATGACAGCTCCAGTGTTTGATACAATATTTTTTGGATTGTAATTTTCTATTGTGTTATTTTTATCATTTGGTATATTAAGTTCAATCTGATCTTCGAATGTTTCTATAAAATTAATTGTATTTTCGATTGGGTCACGGTCTCCATAGTTTATTGTGTATAATTTGAGACCCGACATATTTGTGACTTCAGTTAATTCAATAGTTGAAGTTGTAAGCGTTTCTTTTACTTTATTTTTATTAGTAACCATTTCATCAGCATCAATGTTTGCAGTGCTCGATTTTGTGGAGGAAACAGCTTTGTGCGTTGTTACAGGCACGGAACTTGCTACATGATTGTAAGTATTTTGTAAACCATAAAACTTTGTGGTATGTAACACAGCGCTGTAGTTGGCATTTAACTCTATTTCTTGATTATTGAATGATATCTTCTGACTGGATGTTTGACCTTTTATTTTTATATTTCTATTATCTAGTGGATTATCGTTATGAGTCGTTGTAGAAGGTGAAGTTTCGATGTCGACGTCTATATTATTAATCATATTTGACAAATTTAATACTGTGTTTTTATCTTTGGGAGAGAAAGTGGATGATTCCTCAGAAGTCTTTGTTCTATCAAAATGAGGAACTGTCATAACTGATTGTGAGTTCCATTCCATATTTGGTATAATCGTTTTTGGTTTGAAGCTTATAGTTTTTATCCTAGAAGTTTTGTCAAAACTGGCACTGGCAATGGCGTTCAATATTGGTGCCATCTTGGTAGTTACACTTTTATACTTATAGTACCCATTTTTGTCTGATGCGATGGATCTTGTTGGCATACTTGTAGATTTCATAAGAGGCATTGTCCTCTGGTTGGGCACTATTGTAATACGTTCTGTATGGATGCCATTTGCAAGCATTGAATCACCAAGTAATGAGTCTGCGGCTGGGTAACTTTCATCAATTGTATTTGCAAAAATATCGTTTATTTTATGCATAGTTTTGTTATTAACTTCTAGTTGCCTATTATTTAAAATAACTGTATTTTTGTCCCCGAAGATTGCGTTGCTTGTCATAAGATTTTGAAATTCTTTTGATACTTTGATATGAGGCTCATCAGTATTTATAGTTACTCTGAATGTGGCATTTAAGGTCTTTGCATTGTTTGTTTTATTTGTAGTCATTGATAACCAGGTATGAGTTGGTAAGTGCTTGTAAATCGGATGATTTGCCATAACACCTAAATGTGGTGTAATCAAGAAATCAGAATTTATGTTTGAATGATCGTTTTTTGACGGTAACTTTGGGTCAGTTTTGATCAGGGATGTGTTAACTGTAGTAGGCAATTTAATTTGGTTGTCTTTGTTACCTTGCTTTATAGGTATTTTGATTGGTCTCTCTGAAAATGTATTATCTGCTTTGAATTTGAAAATATTATTTGGTGTTAAAAATGTTTTCACACTTTTAGTTGTACTCATAAAGCTGTATTTGGTAGATGCTGAATCATTTTTCAGTTTGTCGTGTTTTGATAAGGTTTTTAAGTAATTTGTGGCATTTTGGCTTTGAAGCTTTTGTTTATGATGTAGTGCAGATGTTTGCATAGAGGTAAAAGGTTTAGGTCTCAGTTTGTCTATATGTGTTGTTTTTGAATAAGAATGAATTATGTTAGACCATTTAGAGGCAGTTGTCGTCCTGTTTTTCTTTATTCTCCAGTTTTTTGTATTCTTTGTACCAAAGTTAATTGTTGATATATTACCATTACTATATGCTGTTACAGCTATTTGTGAATTTACAATGTTTTTCTGAAATGCCTTTGATTTAGTACTGTGTTCTAGGTAGTATTGTTTGTTCGATTTAGTTAAATTTCCATCTTCATGTTGTGTTGTCAAAGTATCTTGTTTTGATTCTTTTTGTACATGTGGAAAGTACACATTTATAACATTTTCAGGGTGCTTTGAAATCGAAATTGTGAACGGCTTTGGAATCGTATCATTTCTTACTTTCAATTGAAGTAAATTCATGTATTTAGATATGTTTCCTGTAACTTGCAAATAATTTTTTTCAAATTTGAACGCTGTTGTAGCTTTTTCATTTTCCCGAGTTACTTTATCCTGATTTTTATTTAATATATTATTATCGTTCTTTGAAACATGCTGAATATGCGGCCTATTACTTCCTGGAGGAAAATGTTTTGTAGGTCGCATCTTTGTCAAATTTGTGTCATAACTTTTTGTTGAATATCTTGGAAAAATGTCCTTAAGAGTTTTATATGAGGACAGTTTATGTTGTAAGTTATTTTTAAAAATTTTGTTTGGTTTGTTTTTGTCATTAGTTGATACCATTTTAGTATTTATACCATGTGTAGTTATTTTGTTGTCGAGGTCTGTAAACACACTGTCAAATGGATGATTTTTATTAGTAAATCGTTCATGTGGTATAGCGGAGGTAGTGACAATATGTGATTTTGTTTTGAAACTATTAGCCAAAGAAGCTGATTCAGTATCATTTAACTGCAATGCCACATTTTTATTGAAATCAATTCCGCCTTGTTTATCTACTGTTATCATGTGAATCATATCTTGAATGGTTTCAATTTCCTTTTCCGATTTTGTAGCATTTTCTTCAAAAAGTGCTAAGTTTGATATAGTCGTAGGAGACAATTCTTTAAAAGTAATTAAATTACTTTCTGTAAATGGAACTTCCGTTAAAGCCAGGGTATTTATTAGATCGACTTGTGTATAGTCTGTTTGATTTGTCCCAGGTGATTTGATGTTATCTGTTGTTGTTTGTTTTGATACGAAATCATTAAGTAATATTATAGCTCTTGAAACATCTCGAAGTTTTAGTGGGTGTGTTAAATTTTCTGCAAAGTTCGGTACTCCATTCGGTTTAAGGCCAAGTTGATCAGTAATAGAATTGCTTTCCTTCATTGACAGTACGCCATTCTTCATCGTGTTTGTATTCGTGATATTATTAGAAATATCAATATTACTAATATTTAAATCAATGGTTGAATTATTGAATGACTTGTAGTCAAGCCTTTTTACTAGTTGTTTTAATTTTGAGATAGTATTCTTAAAGCTATTTTTCAGGGCCATTGATTTTTCTTTATCAAGTTTTTTATACTGTACTGTGATATTTTCTTGAGAATCTATGTATTCTATTAATTCTTTTTTACATGATGCTGTTATCGATCCATTAGTACAACAAATATTAATATAGTCTGAATGGTTTCTACCAGTAAATACCTCAATGTATATTTTTATAGTGTCACGTCTTCGTAGGTATCTAAAAACTTTAGTCAAATTTTTCTTTTCACTTTCTGCTAAGTATGTATAAAGGGATTGTAAGTGACAGTCTGAATAAACTTCAGGTTTGACAGCCTCTTCGCTTTCTTTTCCTTTTTGATCATATTTTGTGTCTATAATATCTATATCTATTGTAGAATTTTTATGAAGTACTTTATGGAGATCTTCCTCTACTACATTATATTTTCTTAAATCTTTATATTCAGGGTGTAATGTTAATATGACTATCAAAGTATGTATTAACGAACTTTTTACTTTAGATTTTGCTTTGCCAAACAAATTATATTTCTTGATATTATATTTATGATGATGTCTTGTTTGTACTAACGCTCTATATAAGATATGATCTAGTTTAGATTTCAGTACATTTTTTACAGAATCTTCCTCAATCTTTGGTGTATTATTTTCGTTTTGTCTGTCCTCCTTACCACAGTTAGTATGACTCCAGCTTTCACTAGATGTATTGCTGTGTTTAGACAGATCATGTTTTAGATTAAAGCATGTGTTGTTATAAATTTTCTTATACAGATCAAGTACTTTACCTTCAGTAGAAACTGTTTTGCTGAGTCCAATCAAATTTTTGGCACTATTGTACGTATCTTCTTTTGCTTTCAGGGTATCACGCATACAAACACACAAGCTTTTAAGTAGTTTAAGTGTTACTTCAAACAAATGTTCATCACTGGTTGCCGCGTCAATCGATTGCAGGATCTTTGCCAACAGGGGATTGTCACTGCTTGCTAAAGACGTTCTGAGTTGCACTAATGCTTGAGTTTGAGACAATTTCATCACGACACATATAAGTAGAGTTATTTGAGTTATTTTGATCATTTTAAGTAGGTGGATGTATCGACGTCATGTTGGTAATCACGAGTGGGATAAAATAGTAGAACAATCATGTTCACGTAACTTTGTTTTGAGTTACGGAGGAAAACGCAGAGCGATAAGGCCGTTAAATGTTTTGTTTCCTTGGTGTGTGCCGCTTGGTATCTTTGACTTCAAAACGACTTGGCTTATAACTTGTATATTTTCTTACAGGTTATAAGTTTGTTTACGTTCATATGATTACATAACATACCTTCTTTATAGTCATTTCATATACCAAGAAACCAATCTTAATCCTAATAAATAAATTACATTTACAACTAAACAACGGCTCGATTTTTAGGATGTGTGATTTTTTGTTTTCGGTGCCAACATATTTTTACATTGTAGGTCTCATAGCCCTGACACGGATCATAAATCGATCTACGACTAAATACGCAGGTTTAATTAAGGGGAACTCCTAAATATAATAATAAAATACAGAATAAAAATAAACAATACACATAGTTATTAAATTCATCAAATTAATTAATAATAAGAAAATATAGTATCTTTTTTCCTTCCGAATTCAGCAGTGGGTTCGATTCCAGAGTGAATATAATCTTAATCTAGCACTAACTTTCGCCCGCGACTCTAATTAAGAAAGTAATCACTTTCTTGGAGAGTAAGAACTTACCCAATTATCCATTTCTTTCTGTCTATCAAGCAGCATCTCCTGCAGACGGGGACCCAGTTCTTCCATGAAGCCTCGAGCCAGCCCTCGAGAGTGCTCCAACGCTTGCTGACTCACCACCACTGATGCGAACTCTAGGTATATTTCCATGGTCGTCTCGAGCTCCGGAACTGGCAGCTTCGGCAGCTGGATATTCTGTACAATAAGAAATTAGATTGATGTTTCTGTCATTACAGATACTATTAGTGAACATGAATAAGTCCATGTCATGAGTACTCGCAATTAACTATTATACGGAGATGGCAAAAACAATCAATTATTTTTTTTAACACAACTCCCGCATTAGGAATAAGTATATCCTGTGTCGCGGGGGACTTTACAAACATACATAAAATGGACACAAAGAACACCCAGACTCAGAACAACAATTTGTGGATCACACAAAGTGTAGTCCCATGTGGGGATCGGATCCACAACACTCAGCGACCGCTTAAACCACTACGGCATCGGTGAAGTCGAAATCGAAAAAATTATAACTACAAAAGTTTTTACCAATGCGCTCTAATCATTTTTTTCCAGTCGACCTAACTCACACATACTCATCACAACAACTTAATTGTCAACACACATCCTTAACATCATTTTCTTGGTTGAAAAGAGATTGCTTTTAGCAGTAGTACTGGCCTTTGTACTAAGAGTTTTTGTTCCCGTGTCGTGGATTTGTATTATAAATAAAATGTATGTCTCCTTAAATTTCTTTTAGTAATATGTATGTTTAATACTAATTCATGACTATGAATAAAAACAGGCGTGATAGAGGCCGTAAAGAAAATATATATTAAGTGAACTCTATATGTGATGAAATCGTCTACATAAACAACTCATGGAATTAATATAACCATAATAGTGTAACTATTGGCTTTTCGCGTTTCGTGATATCATAACCATTATCTCAGTCGAAAGACGCCCACAATTGGACATAGACTTTCCCCACGGCTGTCCATAATAACCGGTCCTGTGCTGCCCGCATCCAACGGCTGAATAATTATGGAATTATTTATTATTATTGAATTTATAATTACTATTTTTAATTCTTATTCCGTAATAAAAAAAATTACAAACATACATGAAACGAACACCCACACTCAGAAGGACGATTTGTAGATCACACGAAATGTTGACTCATGTGGGTATCGAATCCACAACACTAAGCTTAGTAGGAAGCGGCGTGGCGACCGCTTAAACCACTAGCCATCCGTGCAGTCAAATACACTATATACAAATAAATAATGTCGTATGTGCCATATTAACACCATCGCGTAAAATACATATTTTTTTTATGTAATAGAGGGCAAACCAGCGCCATAATATATACTTACTAAACTAATTCTATGTGACCCTTCCAGAATTAGTTCAATAAATATATATGTATATGTGTACGTATGTATATATATGTAAATGTGTTAATCCTGGTATATATACTATAAATATAATAATATATCATTGCCTACATACGTCTATTCGAAGGACAAATAGTACTGAATAAGAATTCTATCATTTATCCCCATTGTGCAATTGGCAATGCACGTGCCACATTCTTTCTCTGTATCGCCCAATCGGTCGACTGGCAGAGAATGCCTTAGGCATTAAGTCCGCTAATGTATATAAAATATATCTACAATGAAATTAAACTGTCTTATGGCATAGGATCGTTTCGACCGGGGGTCCATAGACCCCTCACCCCGTTTTTACTCTATTGTCGAGTGTATGTGGCTTGAACTGCCATTGTATAGATTTTTTGTACCATGACATGGCTAAACGTATACTGGATACTTTTTTATGGAATATTGGGCAAACAAGCAGACGTTTCACCTGATGGTAAGTGACTACCGCTGCCCATGGACACCTACGACTCAACAATCACAAGCGTGTTGCCGCTTTATGAGCCCTCTCCCCCAGAATCAGGGAGGGGGGACTCCACTCAGTGAAAAGCAACGAAGAGCTGCTTAACACCGGTTTTCTGCGAGGCCCTGGTATTACTCCGGATGAGGCGACCCATTTGTGCCGAAACATGGCGTACGTAAATAGAAGTATCCTAACAAATGCTATTTATTTCTGTAAGTAAATCTTTATTATTTTTTAGACATTGCAGCTAGAAGGCGCTGGCATTTCCTAAGACGATATAAAACTATGTATATGTGCGGTAATTAATGCCATCACGTAATATGTGTACCATACCTTGCATTGAAATGTCAACCGGGTTGTACTGTAGTCCTTGGCCGAATCATAACGATCCCCTTAAATTTCGTACGTAAACATAACTATAATATTGTATTAGTATATTTAAGATTGCATTTAAGATACGTACAGCTGAGAATATAACACCCATTCCTTTATTTTGATTATATTTTCTGTGTATTGACTCACCAACAATGGTTGACACCTAAAAGCAGTAACAGGATGCATCGTTTTAGTCACGACAGTCCAATGCAACTATTGCTAACAGGCAATAATCGCATGCATTGCTTTTTTATAACACTAAAGACAATATATTTTTTCATGCGTAGGGAATTACATGACATAGGTACGTACATGCAATGTTTATTACTTACAATGTGCTTTGTTTTACGTTTTTAGCATTATATTCTTTGTTAAACACGCTATGTATTGTATTCAATTTTGTATATACGTCATTTTTAGATAATAGCTTATTTATTTTTTATTAACATCGTCGTAGAATGTTAATTGGTTTTTGTTTGTGCACTGGTTTAATTTACATTTCTAGAACGTTTCAGTTGTGATTTGTTGGGTTTTAATCATATTTATCTGGTTTTGTGATGATGAAGGTACGTTTGTATTTAAATAAGATTTTCATTTTATTTGATCATTGTGATAATTTTGTTATAAGATAGAATCGATACAAAAAAATAAGTTACAATTAGAAATATTAATGAATTGTTCCTAAAGTCACATAAAATAAACATTGTATTTTTTTCTGAAATATTTGTTTATATTATTACTTGACAATTTGACAGCACTTGACATTTTAGACAGTTAGCAAAGACTAAATTTAGTGTAAAAACTAAGAACATTCTACATCCTTGAGATAAAACTTAACTATTTTAGGTACTGAGCCATAAGCTGTGTATACTCCCACTTTATGTAAAATACAAATTACCCTGACTGGTAAGCATGAGGGAGTGAGTTCGATTCCCACCCAGGACAATTAATTGGGTGATGAGCATTATTTGTTCTGTGCCTGGGTATAATTTATCTATATTATATATGTATTTAGATATTTTTAAATATGTTTATCAGCAGTCTGGTTACCATAGTAGGTACAGGCTCTGCCTAGTTTGAGATCAGGCGGCCATGGCTGAGATGTGTTAAGTTATTGAAGCGAAAACTTCTTTAAGCGCGTTAGACATTTGTGAACAACAAACAAACAAAAGAATGTATTTTATGGTTTAACAAAAAGTCATTTTTTGTAATGGGATTGAACTCGCGACACTGTTACCGTTACCGACACCTCTGTATATATAGGTATCTACACATATTGGTCCCGTTTACACGAGAGTTGAGTTTGGGTTGAAATACATTGAAAATATAACTATACGTACAACATATATTCATGTCGGAACTTTTCGTATCGAAAAAACAATCAAATTTTCAAGTTTTCATTTCTGTTGGTACTCCCGGAGTGGTACTGTATTTTTTTTGATTTTTGTTTGTATTATTTCTTTGTATTCACATAAGCTGACGGGAGTTACGGAAGTGATCTGCCCTCTTTTCTGTTTCATTTTCCCGAGCAAGTGAGTGACGTTGACGATGCAAGAACCCCCCCCCCCCCCCTCCCTACGACAATTTTTTTGTTCAAGGCCGGCAACGCACTATTGCCTTTTCAGTTGGTAGTCACTTACCATCAAGTGAACGTCTTCATGTTTACCCCCCACACCACTAACAGCCTTAAATTTTCCACTGCTGTACATAGGCCTTTCTTTAAAGAGAAGGTTTTGGACTACTATACACATACCAAAAAATAAATCAAAACTTTAAAATTTAAGTTTTTTTTTAATCATTTGCAATAGAAAATCTTATTACCTGGAAGTCTTCGTCTTCGGAGCCGTAGACCTGAGTGCTCAGCCATCGCTTCGGCAGTGACAGCAGAGATTCGCCCCATGCTGTAACAACACAAAGAACAATATGATCGCTGAAGGTTCTCATAATGATGAGGATGGTCAAATAGTCCAGTCAGTGTAGTGTAAAAAGGGTATCCACCTCGGAATGAGATATAATATATAATATAATACTGTCAAAGCTGTTACAGCTATTGTTAAGAATGTTTAGTATTTTTTTTTTTTTTAAATGACAACTCCCGCATTAGGAATATATCCTGTGTCGCGGGGGACTTTACAAACATACATGAAACGGACACAAAGAACACCCAGACTTAGAACAACAATTTGTGGATCACACAAAGTGTCGTCCCATGTGGGGTTTGAACCCACAACACTCGGCGCAGTAGGAAGCGGCGTGGCGACCGCTTAAACCACTGCGCCATCCGTGCAGTCGATAGAATGATATTCGAGAATTGATAGTTAAAACCAATTCTAACTGATATAAAATAATGTTACTGAATCTGATCCCAAACTAGGCAGAGCCTGTACTATAGTAACCAGACTGCTGATAAACATACTTATATATATTTTTAAATAGATACATATTATAGATAAACTACACCCAGACACAAAACAAATGACCGTGCTCATCACACAATATTTGTCCTGGGTGGGAATCGAACCCACGACCTCCGGTTTAGCAGTCAGGATCACTAACCACTAGACCAACAGGCCTGTCAACTGTGAAATAAAACCTAACCAACTACGATCACACTTCTTATACGAATCGTATTAAAAGGGAAGAATCTAATACTAATACTCATCTTACCGTTTCAAAGATCACTTGGACTAAGTGGCAATATCCTGGGTCATAGATGAAGGGGCGGCCTACTTCGTACGTGAGGTTGTATATAGACCCACTTACTTAACTAGAACGCGTCTGATATAAGAGATTCCATCAGCTGCACGTTAACCAATACATGGTTCATTCCTATTCCGTCAGGGATATTATCTATACAAATAAATAAAATTGAAGTGTCTGTTTTTAATGTCAGAATTGTAGGTTTTTTTCATGCGCACACGGTTATTTGCACGATACCTATCTGTCTGTCTGTTTTTTCCTAGTAATCTTCTAAACGGATGGACCGATTTCGATAATATTTTACAACCAGGTAGCTACCTACATAAGGAATAATTTAGGGTATTTTTTCTCTCAGAAAAGACCTTTAAAATTTTGCCGGGTCCGGGCATCGAACCCATTAAGGCAGCGCTTTTTAAATTCGCGCGTACGCGTTTATTTATATAACTTTATGCACTTTTTAATATCAGCGAACTTAATGCCCAGGGCAACTTTTAGTCAACCTTTAGGATGTGTAGAAATCGTGAGTGGTAGGCACACATAGGTTACATTACTGATCAACTAAAATATACACTACAAAACACTACATACATACATTTATATACAAATGTATACACACTATGTACATATATACACATTATGTACATATATACACACTTTCGAATGTATCCAACTTTATAACGGTTTACCCTCACATATAAAAAATGTTATCACATTTAGTCAATTTAAGTCCAGATTATCTCATTATATTGTAAACTAGCTAAGACCCGCGGTGTAACCCGCGTTTGTTGTTATAACCGCGGGCAACGCCGAGGGACGAAGCTAGTCTAAAAAAAGTAGCCTAAGTTACTCCTTATGTTATCAGGTATCTGCCAGTGAAAGTCCCGTCGAAATCAGTCCAGCCGTTCCAGAGATTACCCGGAACAAACAGACAGACAAAAATTGTAAAAATGTTATTTTGGCATATGTACCGTGTAAACATACATATGCATTTAGTAAAAAGCTGTTATTTTAATATTACAAACAGACACTCCAATTTTATTTATTTGTATAGACAACCGTTCGTTTCTCATTTCTCACTTAAAATATATTTTTTGTTTCTTTGTAACTTCAATAATAATTGTAATTTCACTAAATATCTAAATGTTCTAAACGACCATTGTATAAATTTGTTATTTTTAAGTTGAAATAGGTGACACGTAAGTGACTAAATATTTGTATTTTTGATAATAAATTCCTTAAACCTAAAAATATATTTACATATACACATACACAAACATTAGTTTTATGAATTGCGTTTTTTCTTCTGTCCATCTTTGGACGTCTGCACAGGAAAAAAAGGAGGAACAGTAACAGCCAAGTTGTTCAAATCCAAAACGTAAAACAAGATATTGACCAAATCAATAAAACTGTCAATCAACATTATTGTCGTATCACTTCACATCAACAGCCTATACTAGTCCACTGCTGGACATAGGCCTCTCCTTAGAAAGGAGGCTTTGGCCTACCATACCACGCTGGCCAGACGGTTTGTTTCAAGTTTTCCTTCTCTTTGCAGTGCTGTTGTCCTGCTTAGTTTGCTCCTTTAGTCGGCTCTTACGACACCCACGGGATGAATTGGGGTGGTGACAATTTGTATTCTTAATCCGTCACCACACGGACAATCACTTGATCAGTCTTTATCAAAATCTATTTAAAATTCTAACCACTTACCCTTCCTAAAAAGATGACGTAACATTTCTTACTTTCTTTTCAACTGAATTATTAAGTGCAGTTCTACTCAGAATTTCTTTAACGAATACCTCCAATGACTTATTAAAATACAACTTGTTTACATCTCAATATAAAGTCAATAATACAAAGTTTAACTTCTAATGCACTTGTTTAGTTTCTATAAACATTATTGTAATAACAGAATCTGGTATTGCAAATAATAGACTGTCATGTAATATACAGTGAAATTAGTCTCGAGAAATTTTTGCATATGTAGTGGTGTGTATATTACTCAGATCTTAGAGCGCGTTTCCACTATATCGTTCTGGCCTATACAAAAATGTTTCGATATCCTAACATTACTATTTAATTTTATACTTATCCCTAGCAACACTCTGATTTTTGTTTTCAATAAAAACAAGTTTTTATTTTAAAGAAAAAGGTTTTGACTTTATAAAAAAAAAGGTGTGTGTGCGATTCACACACGATAGAAGTGAAACTTCAAAGAGGAGAGACCGATATTAATTTTGTTTTTTTCCTTTCATCTAGGTTTTGAAAGTGGAAACACGCACAAAACCAGAATAAACCAGTTTACGCTGTCCGTGTCATACACTACTACAAACGCAAAAAATTCTCCAAGCTAATTTACCTGTACCCACTTATAATATGCACACACAACAAAAAAAACAGGTGGAAGTGTTAGGTACATAAAAATTATATTAACTACACTGACATTAAACACCATACATATAAAAATATTACCATCCTTAAGGGGCGGTTGTGTGTGCAGATTATGGGCCATCAGAAACCAACTACGAAGTCTTTGTAAGGGAACTAAGTGATCACAAACACAATTTTCTTTTCATCGGCGACAGGAATTCTTAAAAACTTATCAACAAAAATATATATATCTGAACATACTTGGCGGTTGTGGATTAATTTGTGCAGTTTCTCAGTATATAATAAAAGAAAATATACTAAACAAAGTTATTAAATGTTGCACTAACATTACAGATTCGATTCCCCGCTGGTCATCCTTACTCGGCGGCTTTCAACATTGTACTGGCGGATCACCGAGCACTTGTCTTTACGCACGTCAATGATGCGCCGGCGCGTATACAGAGTATTAATAAAAAAAAAAAAAATATTTATACTTCACAAAGAACTTAATAATATGAAAGTTTATGAGTTCACTAGCTTTCACCCGCGGCTCTTCCCGCGTGTATGTCGGTTATCGCATTAAAAGTAGTCAATACTAGTACAGTACAGTAAACAGTTTTAATCGTTGGTAATGTAGCTATCTATTGGTAAAAGAATTTTTAAAATCAGTTTAGTGGTTTAAGCGTGAAAGTGTAACAAAGAAAGAAACAGTTTCACATTTATAATATACTAGCTGACTCTGCAAACGTTGTTTTGCTATTTACATTATTTCAATTTTTTTTTTCTTTTTGAATTTCTTAAAATCCGTTCTTAGCTGACCTCTACTCGGTGAAAAGAATATTCCACCCAATTTTCAAGTCTTTAGCTCTAATGGTTCCAGAGATATCGTGATGAGTGACTATATACGTGGAAATCTCTTATATATATATATATATATAGATAAAAAGTGTGAGTTCATATGCAGTTCGTTTCAAAATGCGTATAAAATTGTCAGCAATTATAAAAGACTAGCTGACCCGCGCAACTTCGTCATAGTAATAAATTTTCTCCGCTTTTAAAACATTCTTCATTGGTGCTCCGCTCCTATTGCTCTTAGCGTGATGATATATAGCCTATAGCCTTCCTCGATAAATAGGCTATCTAACACTGAAAGAATTTTTCAAATCGGACCAGTAGTTCCTGAGATTAGCGCGTTCAAACAAACAAACAAACAAACTCTTCAGCTTTATAATATTAGTATAGATATAAAAAATATGCTAGATTCAGCATTTCTTGGATTAATGAAAATTTTTACATGTGTGTAAACGAAAAAAATAATTAAAACCTTGAAAAATCAATCTATTTTAATCTCTAAATATATATTTAATCTCTAATGAAGGATAGCTTTCATTAAGTTAGGTTACAATAAAATTCGACATGCAATTTTAGGAAAAATAAGGAATCAGTAGTATGCTTGGTCGGATGAAATTATCCAAAGATTCGGCTGTCCTTAAAGCTTTCGATTCCCAACATTTACCTTGGCTGGTAAATGTTGGGAACATATTACTGAGAATCGCATGCTCGTTTGCCACAATAGGCTGTACTATACATTTTAAATTTACAATAAAGAATGTTTAAATATAAAACATCAATTCGTTGATGATAACAGTTTAACTACTGCAAAATCTTATCAGTCCAACTCAAATTAAATAAATACTAATAAAAGATGCCTATCAGAACTAAAAACTTTGGAATAATAGTATAAAACACTCTGTAAATACGCAGATGGTGAGTAGAAACCAGTGGTGTACCTCGGGCGCTGTCAACAATATCTTACCTAGTTCCTCGAGTAAAATTACGACCTACACTACCGGCGGTTTTACGCACTATCGAAA